CTGTGTGTCTCTCATGAAAAAATAAAAAAATAAAATCTTAAAAAAAAAAAGTCACATAATTGGAAAGTGTGCAATGTTATTGTTTGAGTTACTTCACATTAAGCCCTCTGTTGTCAAACAATGATCATGTAATTTGACTGTGAGGAAACTTAATAGTGATATACTTTTGAACATGGGAAAACATAATTAGAGGACTCAGAAGGAGAAACTTAGGAATAGACTTTTTTTTTTTTTTTTTTTTAAGGCTTTTTTGGGGCAGGGGACAAAACAGAACAACAAAGCTGCTACGTAGGCTATTTCAGATGAAAGTTTCCTGGAGAAAGAACATATATTGGTTTAGTGTGAATCACCCTTTTCAGAATTCCACAGTTCATGTGAACACCCCGCAAACTGATGAGGTCACACTGGTTAACCAACACAGCATACCTTCCTATTTAGAGTATTAAGGTAGAGGCTATATTAAAAGCTTATAAAGTGGTCTCATTCTAAAAGTAACAAATCCTGAAAAAAGTTGGAAGTGAATTTTTAAAAACCTACCGTAAACTAGGGTCTGAACTGCCTAAATTAAGTAACGCAATATTGAGCAGCGTCCCAGGGACATCTTTTGGCCGAATCTTGGTATGTTGGGGGATGGAGTCAGGTTGTGACAGCTCCCAGCGTGTCCGGATATGGATGATAGACTGAACAATGGCTTCACACTCCTGGTGCATGAAGGTGAGTGGTGTGCCCTGGTTTGCAATGGTTAAGGTAAACTGGTTCTCATCTACCAGGCAGATTTCTTCTATTTCCGAAGCATAATAAATATCATTTAGAAAGACCGATTGCCCCAGGACTTTTGTTCGCTCTGCTGAGGTTACTTGAACAGCAGTAGAACCAACCTGGAAAGTGATGGTGAGAGGGTGGAGTGAAGAAGAGTTAAATTCCACATCAAAAACCAATTGACCAACCGAACAAATACCATATTTGCCATTTAAGGAAGAGTTACCACCATTGTATGTTCAAATGGGTTCAACTGCAATAAATGCTCTCATAAGAGACTGAAAACATTATAAAAATGTTAGTTGTTTTTTTTAAAGTTCAAGAATCCCATAGACAATTACTGATTTTATCCTGGTTCATGTTTCCCACTCTGCAAAAAGCATGCAATAATCATAAGAATCCTCAATTGGTAATTTCCACCCTCCCCACATTCCTTCCATTTGACTAATTGATGGCAAACTGCCCTCTCTACAACACTCTCCTGCCTCTAATCCGACCTAGAATATAATTAAGTGTTCACCTCTCCTATCTTTCATAGGACCTCCATGAAGACAAAAAGCTTGGTTTTCCTCCATTTGGACTGACTTTACATTTGATCCACTACTATAGGCACACCTAGGGAGGCCAGTGCAGTCTGGTTAGCCAAGAAGGATAACAAATCATTTACCTAACATGGAGTGAAACTTACTTTAATGGAAACCTTGGTGTCTTTGTGAGCTAGCTTGAGAGCATTGTGGAATACCTTCAGGTCCTCTTCTAAAGCCAGTGTGGCAGCAGGCAGTTTCTGTTGTTCATGCTCTATGTGCTCAGCCAGTTTCCCAGGACAGTCTATGAAGATGAGCCTTTTGCTGCCTTTGAGGCCAGTCAGCAGCCGCTCGTGATACTTGGTGTACTCTCTGACCCAGGAGTTACAGTTATAGATATAGACTGCAGAGACATTGTCATAAGCGAAGCCAGGAAAAACAACAAACCACTTGGAGAGAAAGTCTGTTTTAAAGCGATTGCTCGGCCCAGTATGGGTAAGGTCCACTACAATTTCATATGGCTTTGCATAATATGGCTTTAAAGTCAGCAAGACATGGTATATCAGCAAATCGCCATTGATTTGACCAGTTTTAAACCTAAGGAAGATGACATATAAAGGACACAGATGTTAACAGAGTTCTGAATAAATATACAGATGCTACAAATCTATTCCACTCCTTTAATTTTCTTATGAGCCTTCTAGAAAAAACTATAATATCAAAAAATTATACAAAACCTAAATCAATTTTTAAAAATCACTTATTCTTTAGACATTGAAAAAAAAAAGACTGAGATAAAATGGAAGAGACAAGTCTCCAACTCAGAAACTTTTGAGCAACAACCTGCACGTCACAGACAAGCAGAGGAAGGCAGTTAACATGGATTGATTGCCTCTAGGCCCACTAAATTTCCCAGGTGAGTTGTTTGGGTGGGAATGACCCACCTGGAGCACTGGAGTAATCTGAATGGCTTTAGTCAATTTGCTTACCCCACCACCTTGACCAGAGGAGGTTCAGCAATGATTACATGACTCAAATCAGTACAACCAGGCCAAAGAGGCCCACCAACTCAGAAACTTTAGCTTTAGTTGGGAATTGAGACTTTTTCTTTCCCAGTGTTTACGAACAATGAACACATTGTCCTGGGAGTAGTTAGCTGATACCTTGAGAAATGAAGGAGAAGCCGGCCTAAAAACTGGAGAAATGGAGAGAAACTGAGGACCCAATCATATCATCTGAGCCCTAGATAAAGCCTCTCCTGGGATCAAATTTATCCCCAGACCATTCAGTTGATGAGCCAATGAATTCTATTTTTTTGATTAAGCCATATTAGGTCATAAATTGCTTACACTCAAAAGAATGCTGACCGGTGTGAGTAGCCAAGGTAAGGACCATCAGAAAGCCCTGAAGAACACAGTATTAGAACTTCAAATCATAACAACTTATATTAACTTGGCCCAATGTACTACACTTGCTGACTATGGTAAAGTATTACAAAATAGGCTCAGATAAATATCCGTATCTCAGGAGATCTTGTTGGGAGAAAAGAAGATAAAAATCAAGTTAAATGATTTTAAAATCTTTTAAAATCAAAGGAAAGGTAGAACATAGTATGTTATCACTTACCAAATGAATTGCAGAGAAAAATAGTTCAAGACAGGGAGAGATGAGCACAAACTGAGTAGTCACTAAAAGCGCTGTGACTAAAGTGGGTAGAAGAAATTTTTAATTCAATAAGAGGAGGGACTAGCAGGCCTCATAGAGAGAGGTAAAGAAGAAAAGAAAAACTAGATGTGCTGAGGTAACAGTCACCTAGTTTAGCTGGAATGAAGGATTCACATAGAGAAGTTTTAAGAGATAAAGCTGGACAATTGGACTACTAGGTATTTACCCAATGGTTACAAAAACACTAATTTGAAAGGAATACATGCACTCTGATGTTTACAGCAGTGTTATCTACAATAGCCAAATTATGGAATGAGCCCAAATATCCATCGACTGACGAATGGATGAAGAAGATATGGTGTTCCAGAAGGGCTGGTTAAAAAAGATACAATAATCTAGGTATGGTCTAATAAGGATCTAAATACTATGGTGACAGTAAAAGGAGTCAATTCAAGAATCTGAAGAAGGACCAAGATGATATATATATATATATACACAATGGAATATTATTTGGCCATAAGAAGAATGAAATCTTGCCATTTGCAATGATGGAGCTAGAGAATATAATGCTAAGTGAAATAAGTCAGAGAAAGACGCCATAGGATTTCACTCATATGTGGAATTTAAGAAAGAAAACAATCAATCATAGGGGGGAAAAAGAGAGAGGCAAACCAGAAAACAGACTCTTAATTATAGAGAATGAACTGATAGTTACCAGAAGGGAGGTGAGTGGGGAATGGGTTAAATAAGTGATAGGGATTAAGACAGGCACTTGTGATGAGCACTGGGTGTTATAAGTGTTGAATCACTAAACTGTACACCTGAAACTAATAGGACATTGTTAACTAATTGGAATTTAACTAAAAAATAAAATACAATTGAAAGTTTAACTTAAAAAAAGAGATAAAGCTGGAAAAACGCATAACAGTTAAATTGTGAAGGGATTAAAATTATTCATCTAAGAGGTTCAGGTTTTCTCTCAAGGGCCCAGTATTTCTCAGAATATGTTCTGTGAAGCACTAGCATCAGAATCAACTGTGGTAACTGATAGAAATGTGGTCTGTTTCTACTACATATGAACCTATGCATTGGAACCTGGCAATTTTCATTGTTTTTAAGCAACCGTCTTACCTGATATTTATATGCACAAATATTTCTGAATCACTGCTCTAGATGTCAGAGAGTTATTCAACTTTATTTTCTTAACGAGATAAGATGATCAAAGGAAGTGATATATACAAGCTATATGAAGGAGTCAGGGCTGGTAAAAAAAAAAGATACTATAGTCTAGGTATGGCCTAATGAGGATCTAAACACTATGGTGATGGTAAAAAAAAAAAAAAAGAAAGAAAGAAAAGAAAAGAAAAGAAAGAAAAAAGAAACCAATTCAAGAACCTGAAGGAAGGATCAACACAATCCAAGGTCTGATCAGGGCTGACAGAAAGGACTTGAATTAAAAGGACTCGCTGTATACCAACCCTCTGAGGTCACAAAGAATGCTGCTATCATGGACAAAAACAAAGAGATCATGAGGGGCAGCCAACTTCGGGAGAGAAAATGAAGTCCATTTCAGACATACTGAAAATGAAGTGATGACAGGACACTGGAGGGGAAAGAGTAAATCAACGTAAAAGCATATTCTGCTGCATATAATCTAAATTTAATCGGTATTTTCTCAAGTCATTGTTATAGTTCCACAATTTGAGATGCTGATTATGTATATCATTGTTTCTATTATCTGACCAATACCCAGGTCTCCAAACACATGACATTGAATCAGACTGCAGTACATAAAATTTTTAGAGATTTTAGTGCTGCAGGAAAATTACCATTTCATCTTCATTCAAAAGAAGGAGGCATATACAATGAGCAAAAGGTCAAATGGCACTGAGTAGAACACCCTCCCTGCCCTGGAGGCGGGGATTTGTTGTACAAAAGCCTCCTGTCACACCAGTAGCCAACTGGACAAGTTGGACTTTATGGTTTTTTTTGTTTTTTTTTTCCTTCTCTGTGACATGTGCTTTAGTTGCAGCAGAAAGGAAATGTGTCATCTGTGGTTTGGTTTTAAAAGTGGAAAGCTAGCTGTAAAATCTTTTTTTTTTTTTTTCCAGTAACTGCAGATTTACTTTAAGGTTCATGCTCTCCAAGTCTCGTCTGCTTTAAATTACTTGGAAGCTGTACTTCAAGACAAGAAAAGAAGTGGCTATTAAAATCAGGTTATAATCAGATTTTAACCAAGAATTTATAAGGTAGGTCATCTATATGGCTTTTCTTATGCCTTTTCACTCATAACTTTGCACGGATTAGTGTTCAAGGAAGTGCTTTCAAATGAGACCTAAGAATCTTACTAACAAAGTAGAATCATAAGTGATTGAAAATGTATGCTGTTTTTTCTGGCCTATTAAGTAACATTTAAGTTAAAAATGGAAAGATTTATCATCAACAGTTTTTTCATGATTAGGAAGGATGTGAATTTAGACTCCACAGTGAATTGAAAAGTTTTATAATTTAAAAAGTTGAAAAAATAAAGTTCATGACCAGAGATAAAGAAAACTTTTGATAACATAACCTGACCTCCATGGCATAAATTAGGAATGCAGAGACAGTCCTCTATTCTCAGGCATTTGTAAGGGCAAGAGAAAGTCTCATTTTGTTAACAGTTTGTTTATTTGGGGATGAAAGTACATCTGGCAGAAGACAATCAACAGCAGGCCTATTATCCATACCGCGGTAAGCACTGCTAAAATGTGTATGAATATCATGATGTACACTACACTGTTAATGAACTAATGTGATAAGAATAACCCACTTTAAATAATTTTAGCATTCAATGCAGAAAACTAGTTTAGTACAAAAGGATGAAAACTACTTGCTAACCCAATTTAAAATATTTCTCTTTGTGAAAGATTTATAAAATATACAAAGATTCGTTATTCAAATGGAAGCTGAACACTTATATGAGAAGTCAATGCACAATATCTTTATTAAAGATCATAATCTAAAAAGTAATCATTCTAGAACACATAATAAAGGTTTTTTTCCTTTAGGAAATACTACTTCAGTGGCTAGTTTCCATTTAGCATTGCTTATTATAAGTTACTTTTGTTTGTAACAACATACTTGTTATTCTCAATTTCTATAATCAATAGCATACAAATTTTATCCAATGACATTTAACAACTATTTCTAATAAAACCTCAAAACTCAAAAAAGTATGACTACCAGCAGCATCTGTCTTACTTGGGAAGAAGTTAGAAATGCAGGATTCCAGATCCCTCCTAGACCTATAAAATCAGAATCCACATTAAAAAAAATAAACAAAAAAAGATTCCCATGACCATTCAAGTTTGAGAAGAACTTCTATAAAATAAAGTCTTAAACAGGCAATTTCACTGAATAGATCTCAGGAGAATAATCAATTTTTGCTTCTATTTATCTCAAACAAATGTTAATAATAAAATACTCCTACAAAAGTAACTTGAATGAACAGAATATTACTATAAAAGAGAGAACTCGGGACGCCTGGATGGCTCAGCGGTAGAGCGTCGCCTTCAGCTCAGGGTATGATCCTGGAGTCCCGGGATCAAGTCCCATGTTGGGCTCCCGGCATGGAGCCTGCTTCTCCCTCTGCTTGTGTCTCTGCCCCTCTCTCTCTCTCTCTCTCATGGATAAATACATAAAATCTTTAATTAAAAAAAGAGAGAGAGAACTCGAGGGCAACACTCTTGGATCCCCTCCCTCTTTGGGAGCCTTGTACTAGCGATAAACTTTGCTTTACTGCAGAAAAGGAAAGAAAGGAAGAGAGAGAGAGAGAGAGAGAGAGAAGAAAAAGAAAGAAAGAAAGAAAGAAAGAAAGAAAGAAAGAAAGAAAGAAAGAAAGAAAGAGAGAGATAACTCAACATAAAACTGATAATTTTTTTCTGCTGGTTTATCAGCACCTAGAATAGATATGCCAGTTCTATTTAACTCTTCAATCATATGGTAAATAATGAGAATTAGGAACAGACTTGTCCCCCTTTTGCACTGACTTCCAAAGAGCTTGAAGCTAAAACTAAAATTCATCTTTTTTATTTATATGTTGAAACTTATGATCTGCCTCGACTTCCACTTCCCATAGTCTAAATTCCACTGATCCGGATGTTCTGTATAATTTACTGTAAATTTACTGTATAATTTACTTTAAAAAATTATGTCAAATAGTCATAGGAAAGATGCTAGGCATATATGATGATGAAAAAAGTAACTTGTTTAACTTTTGAGATTATTCAGAAAGAAATCTGCTTTTTTACTGTAATGCCAGATTTTTAGGTTGAGAAATCTGGCATGCCTTTGCTTTTAGCAAAGCCACAATAAATTAGGGGATATACAGGTGAATGGAGAGAACCACCCCCACAATTGCTTTCACAAATACCAGGAGTAAAACAAAAACAACAACAACAAAAAAAACCCAAAAAACAAAAATACCAGGAGTATATTTCTAAGTACCAGGTTTATTCTAAGCTTCAAGATAAACACTCAAGAAAAAAGAACATCTTGAATTCCTATTTGAAATCCATTTTCCTTTGGTTGCTACACTTCCCCTTTCTCAATCCCAAAACAAAAACCAAAAAGCCAATTTGCATTTTCTTTTCATACATGAAGCAAAATGCTCAAGGCCACATTTCTCCTTTCCTGTAAGGATCAGTGACACATTTTTTTAGAGGGTGGGGAGTTTCTTTAAATAAGATCCTTAAATGGTTGGGGGCAAAAAAAAAGAAAAAAAAAAGGAGGAATCAAAAAAGTAAAGCAGAAGTATCTGATTCAAAGCTCAAGTTTAGCATGCTTGGAAGGGAGGAAACTATAAAACCATGGGATTCAGTTTAAAATGATTCACAAGTATTTTTAATGCTAACTTCTAGCATTTAAAAGAATAACAAATTAAATTGTTTCTTTACACACAGTCTAACAGAAAACAGACAAGCCAGGTAAAAAGGAATTCAAACAGGATAGCAAATATTAGGTATGGGTTTGTAGTTCACTTGTAAAATATCAGCTGTCCATCTTTCAACTACAATCGTAAGAACTGGGAACCACTGTTCTTTCCCAAATTAACAAATGACACTGCTATCCCAACAGATTTCCAGCATATTCCTGGACATGGAGCACAGACGGCTTTACCTGCATCTCACCCTTCTGATGACGACAGTTTTTTCTTGGTCTCCTGGAACAAACGCAAACTATACCCAACTGTGGGCTAACAATACTACTGTCTGGGAGCGAGATATTCAAAATCAGATGGGCAGAAACCAAGATGAAAACATTAACACAAACCCTACAACTTCTGCAGTAGATAAAAGCGGTAACTCTGTAAACAGGACTGAAATAACATCATCTCTGGTCACATCTCTAACTCCTAAATCGGAACTGGAGCTTTATATACCTTCTGTTATCAGGAACAGTTCTCCAACAGTACAGAGCACAGAAAACACAACCAAAGATCACCATGAAATTTTCAAAAAAGAGGTCTGTGAGGAAAACAACAACAAAATGGCTATGCTAATTTGCTTTGTTATAATTGCAGTGCTTTTTCTTATCTGCACCCTTCTATTTCTATCAACTGTAGTTCTGGCAAACAAAGTCTCATCTCTCAGACGATCAAAACAAGTAGGCAAGCGTCAGCCTAGAAGCAACGGTGATTTCCTGGCAAGCAGTGGTCTCTGGCCTGCTGAATCAGACACTTGGAAAAGAGCGCACCAGCTCACAGGGCCCAACCTAATGATGCAATCTTCTGGAACACTTATAGCTACAAGGGGAAGAAAAGATGAAGGAGGAACTGAAAAACTCACTAACTAACAGGCACTTCAGTAAAGAAAAATGCAAAGTAGCAATGAGGAAACTGTATGAAGTAAAAATGAAATCAGTTTGATATTTTATGCTAACATGTTGGTCTGGTCTGGTGGTCTAAAATTTGTTGACATGGCAGCCTTGCAATTTAAAAGCAAGCAGGTGAGAAGGGGAGAAGTCTGCCCACCCTCTCAATTACTTAAAACTGTGCACTTTTGTTCTGACACTGAATATTTTAAAAAGCAGATAACAAAATCCAAGAATGTGGGGCAGGTTTTAAAGATGACTTGAAGGAATTAATGGAGGCAGAAAGGGACAATTAAATAAATAATTTCCTGTTCAGCAACAGTAGTTACATGATCTTCATCTGAACATAATTAAACTTTGAAGAGTTTTAGTGTGTCTTCAGAGGCAAATCTACGCTTTGACATCTAACAGAAGCCAAATTCCTAATGCGGAGAGTTGAACTGCAGTTTAACGATACCTCTGCTGCATGTGACAAGATCTGTACCATCTCATATACCAGCACAGCTAATTTTATGCTAGATGTTTTCATCTTTATGTATGGCACACAGAAAAAGGTGGTTTTCTACTATAAATATTTAATTAAAACTTTTAATTTTGTATAATAAATTAAGACTCCTTAGAATAAAACTGACTACATATATTTGTACTCATTTTATTATCTTAGGGAACACACTGTAAAGATCAATCAGAAAAAGAGCTTAACTGAAACAGGTGAGACTAGCCACCACAGAAGGCCAAGAGTAAATGTAAAGCACATCTTACTACTGTTTAAATGCAATGTACCTCTATTCTATAAATACTGCTTATTAGAATATTTATAGCAAATATCCAAAGAGGGATTATCTTCTGACTTCAAGGATGCCAAATGGCCTAATAAACTATCAGTTTTGTTCATTTTCTTTTACTATCTAATGTGACATGATCAAAGGAAAGATGTGTGTATGTTTGCTCTAATCTGGAAAACAGGATACTTCAGGTAATTGTTTAACCTTTCAAGAAACTGGGTTCAGTAAAATAATGACTTACACTTAAGACTTCCACCTTCAGTTAAATATATTACAAAAGTTGGTTTGAGAGACATTTCAACTTCTAAAACTGATCCAGGGCATTCTAATTAAAGACCAAGCTACATTTAAAGATTTTCATTCCTTATTGAGCATTTACTGTGGGCAATATGCTAGCCATTTAAGAAAAGATTTCATATATTTTTTTCCAAATATGATCACAATCTTACCCTCCATTCTAGGTTAGTGATTCCCATCCTGGTTGTGTATCAGAACCATCTGAAGAGTTTTTGAAACTAGCCAATATCTAATTAGCACCCTCTCTTTCTGATTCAGCTAGAAAGGGGTAACCTCCAAGCTCTGGTAGTTTTTGCATTAATTCCCTAGGTGATACTGCTCTTGATCATGAAAATCACTTCTTACAGGTACCATGGCTTCAAAGACTAGGTTACATCTTAAAATGAGAGGGAAAAAAAAAGCATCAATTTTATGATTATTACCAATTTGTTAGAAAAACTATAATCATATTATTCCAGATAAAGCTAAATGCCAAAAAATAAAAAGGTAAGCAAGAGAATTCTCATGCCAGTCACGTTATGACAGACCTCGTTATCTTTTGAGGGGTAAAAGCGACCAAACTGGCAATGAAACTGGGCAGAGCTCCCATCTTGTACAAATTAAAAATTTGAGGGCAACCCGGGTGGCTCAGCAGTTTAATGCTGCCTGCAGCCCAGGGCGTGATCCTGGAGACCCGGGATCGAGTCCCACGTCAGGCTTCCTGCATGGAGCCTGCTTCTCCCTCTGCCTGTGTCTCTGCCTCTCTCTCTGTGTGTGTCTCTCATGAATAAATAAATAAAATCTTTTAAAATAATTAAAATTTTGAGATTGTGTACTAGAACAAATAGTGATAAGACAAAGTACTCCTTGAGAGTCAAGTGTCATATATACTTGTCCAAGGAAATTAAAACAAATTACTGTCTTTTAGGGGCACCTGGGTGGCTCAGTCAGTTAAGCATCTACCTTTGGCTCAGGCCATGATCCCAGGGGTCCTGGGATTGAGCTCCACTTCAGGTTCTCTGTCTAGTGGGGAGCCTGCTTGTCTCTCTCCCTCTCCAATTCCCCCTGCTTATTCTCTTTCTCTCTCTCCAATAAATAATAAATAAAAATATTTTTTAAAGATTCTTAAAAATAAAACAAACAAAAAAAAGATTCTTAAAAATTAGTGCCTTTTAAAAAATAACAAATTAGGTAACTACTTTCACATTCAATATGTAGGTCAAACATTTTCTGACAAAACAGAAAGCTTCTATTGCAAGAATATTTAAAATTCATCACTAACACCCTCAGAATAATGCTATCCAAGGACAGTTCACGAACAAACAGAAATGGTTCCTTTTCAAACTTGACAGTGTTTAAACATGATAGATTAAGATACATTTTGAGTTCAAATTTTAAAAGTTATTTTTGAACAAAGAACATTTTTGTTTTCTATCCCTGGATGTTATGGTCCACATACTCAATTCAGGGATTTTAAAATAGTGAGTCAAAAGTTTATAGTGTTTTTATTATATCTGCTTTATAATTAGACCCCTTAAAAACAAAAACTATTCTTTTTTAACAAGTTATAAGTACCCTGACATTAAGAACTAGGTCTCAACAGTTCATGATTCTCTGCAGTGACCAGGGTAAAACAGGGCATGGTTTAATACTTACCTTATCTACTATAACAGGTGTTATGCTAGGCACTTTACATTTATTTAATCCCATAACAAATTTACAAATTAGGAATTATGACTTCCATTTCTCAGATGAAGAAAGAGGCTAGAAGGTTACTTGCCCAGATAAATTTTTATTTAGACTGACTCATTCTTTTTTTCAATATACTTTGCTTATTAGTTAACTTAAGGAATCATGATTACCAATTTATTTTACTTTCCACTGAGGAGTACCTACTTTGTGGCTAATCAAAAGCTATGCATTGGAACTTGAAAATCATTTAGTAAAGTACTTGGTCAAAAAAATTTAATTATACTTTTTACCTGGGCTTTGTCTAAATTATGGATGAGGAAATAATGTTAACATTTACTGGCTTCCTACTGTGTGTGAGGTATCTATACATGTTATCTTATTTAATCTTCACAGTAACTCAGTAAGAGAAATATCCCTCCAGAGGAGGAAATGATGACTCAGAATACAACAACTTGCCTAAGGTGATCAAGTAAACAGAACACATCATTCGCTTCTTATGAAAAGAAATCTTACTTTGGGTAGTAACCCAAGAGGAGGTTTTTCCTTAGAATAGGTAAGTTCCCCTCTAAAGCTATATTCTAAATATTTAAATTATATAATCATATAACTAAAGAGTCTCAAATATTGACTTACCAATATTAATTAAAAGCATTCAAATCTTAAAGCTGCAAATTGTGTTTCAAAATAAGTTCTGTTAAAGTAGTGCACTTCTTAGTCATTTTGTGGCTTTATTGCACTTCCGGAACCAACTATCAATAAACTTCCTCTTTTTCTCCGGAAAGCATTTCAGTTTGCTACAGGACCATTTTTAATCTGAACTGAACCACCCCTTTTGCTTTCTTAGCCAAATCGCCAAAATGTCCAGATAGAACAAGAACTTAGGATTCTGCAAAAAGAAGTTAACAGTTGAGGTAAGAAAATTTTCACACAGGCAATCTGGTTTATCTTTGCTTTATATAAAATTTATTTTTAAAACTAAAATGTTAAGTATTTCAAACTTAAACTCTGCTAGTCTAAAGATGTCTTTAACAGGTTTTGTGGTTTTGTTGCATGGAATGAAAAAATATCCAATGTTGAGTTTGCCTTGAAGAAACATTTCCAGCTAGATTTGTATATCATAGCCCTTTTAAAGTTTATTCAATCACAATGGTTGATTAGCCTTAGTTCTGTAATTAAAAAGTAAACTATAACCATGGCAGATAAAGCTAAAGGTTATAAGTAAAACTAGAATCCATGGGAAATGACCGAATTTACAATCCCCAAATACCAACTGTTAAAAATTGTAATTACTTTCTATAAAATTTTCCTATACATAATCCACAGATTTATTTATTTTTAAATCCCCTTTAGTTTCTATGGGATTAGTTTAATGGTCACCTCCACTTAATTTAAAAAAGAAATCAAGGGAGATTAGATGAGGTACTCAATTACCGTTATTACATATGCTTTGTTTTTTACACACAGAATTTCTATATTTAAGTAATAATGGTTATAGGAAAATATTGTAGCTGTTTAAAGCTCACTATGACAAAACTGTTATGATAAAATGTATGTACATACATACATTTGTATCATCTACATATTTATGCCATACATTATTATCTGAGCTGTTGGTAAACACTGTAAAATAGATAAGGAAAAAACACAGGATAAATAACAGAAAATTGCTAATATGCATACAACATGCCTACTATGTGAATAAACAGGGTAATTACAAAGTAAATATCCTCCAAATAAAAACTGCAAAGAGTTTAGTTTACACAGACTTGTAACATCACAGAATATAATAAATTCATAGTGGGTGATACTCTTTCAACATTTCATAACTATTTATCACTTTCCCTTATAGAAGTCCACTTTGGATTTTTTCTAAGTAACTATTACAAGCTAGAAAATAAATATTTTTATCTCTTTTTTAGACAAGATTTGTTTCTATATATTTTTAAAGGATCAGTTCAAAATTTAGAGTGTAATAGTATGTGAGTTTTCCAACTAATTCCTATATAACTCTACTTAGAAGGAAATTGTGAATTCTAAGTTCAAATTTGTTAAATATAAATCTGATGCCTTTTATTGTCCAATCTTTAAAAGTCACCTCAAATATGACAGCTTACAGGCTAACCATTCAAAACTCTCAAAACTGTTTTCATAGAATCAGAAGACCAAAATGGTTTTCTGGTAGTTTTTTTTCTATTCCTTACTCAAGACTGCCTCCAAAAGTTATTTATATATCTATTCCCAGAAAGCTCACATCTCCCTCCCTCATAAAGCATTCCTGCTTCATAATTTTACTATGAAAGGCAGTGCAGCTTATTTAGTGACATGTAACAGAAGGAAGGGCTCTGATACACCACTGACACGATTTCTTTATCACTGCCTCTATTTACAACTGTGACACTCTGGCAAGTTATTCCACAACTCTGTGTCTCAGTTTCTTTATCTGGAAGATGAAAGTAAGGCTACCCTGCTCTACAAAATAGGATAGTACCTAACATTGAGTGGGTACACAGTAAATGGTAGTTATTATTATTGATTAAAGTCACCAAATATTTCCTATTATAGTTCAAGGTTAATTTCCCTTTCTATGCCTCAGGATACACAATCGCTGTTTTCTTCCTTTTATGATTTAATAACCAGTTGGAGATATACTACTAGTAAATTTCAATCTATTATATCTATATTGTAACTTATTAAATCAAAGTAGTAATAATATCAAAGTCCTACTGATTCAGGTATTATTTTTGATATTGCTTCCTATACTTGCCTTTTTGTCTAAGAGACTCTCCAAAAATCTCCTTGATTCTCTTTAAATGACATTTCTTACCATATCCAACATAACAGGATCAATTTTAACTGTACTCTTTATGTACTTATACATCATATTTATGAGAACATGTCTAATACATGAGGACTCCCACCATCACGGTAACTGTGGAAGGTGTTTGGTTAAAAGAGCTGATGTTTTCCTTCCTCTTAAAACATTTTTAAATATTCAGGAAAAACAAAGGACCAAAATCACAGATTTATTTTATTTATTTTTTAAAGATTTTCATGAGAGAGAGAGAGAGAGAGCGAGGGGCAGAGACACAGGCAGACGGAGAAGCAGGTTCCATGCAGGGAGCCTGACGCGAGACTCTATCCTAGGACTCCAGGATCACACCCTGGGCTGAAGGCAGATGCTTAACCACTGAGCCACCCAGGCGTCCCCAAAATCACAGATTTAGATCTCAAAGTGACAACCCATAATGATGAACAAAATACTGCCAATATGAAGGTAGGCAAATTTGGGATTTGCCTGTTCAGCAGACTAAGGGATTTCTAGAAAAGTGCTATATAGAATGTGCATGAGTTCTTTAGAATAATTAGCAGTTATGTCTTGAATAGTGCCAGAAAAAATTTAAAAAGAGAATCTCAAGAATACTTAGAATGGATGAGAACCTGTAATGAAAGCCTAGTGAATTTGAGAAGACGGGGGAGTCAAGTTCTCCATTGTGGGAAGACCGCTCCTCCTTACCACTTCTCTGTGTCCACAAATACGGTCCAGTGACAGAGAGCAGCACTTCATGGTTCTTCCTTCCATCTATTTCAATCTTCTCCCCCAACTTCTAATTTTGCCCACTTTAATCATCTACCCTAATTCTTGCTAACTATATAACTACCACTTTTTCTTCAGTTTTTTACTAACTTTTCAATACTTTCTCTAGTCCACTGACCTTTCCTTTTCACATATATTTGCTGCTTACTATAATTTATAGTAAATTTATTTTTCTCTTTGGGTTTTTATTTCTTTGCACTCCCTTTTTCATTTCATCTTATTTGACATTTTCTCCCTTTTACTCCCCTCCCCCATGTGATTCATTGTTTCTACCTTCTCTCCCTGCAGAAGCAATGTTGGTACTTCAGGCACACATGTTTACATATTTAAAAAAATACATATGTTAAATAACTTTCTGCACTGGTAATGACACTGGCCTTACTATTCTGAGTTAGAAGAAGTCAATTTCCTCACTATTATGCGCCATGTTTATTCCGCTATTAAATTCTGCTCTTTCTTTTCTGGACTGTTCTTATTTGCTATAGTAGAATTCTAACACAGATTGTAGCATTCTGATGTAGCAGACCTTAGGAGGGTAGAAAGCTAACTGATGAGTGAGAAGAGATAATAAGATTGATAAAAAATAGAATTTGGTTTTGATATTGTTGTAACCCTTAAATGACAAGTAGAAAAATCTCATATATTGAAGGTTTATGGTCTTCCTATTGAAAAAAAGAAGCTATGAGCCTACCAAAATTGATCTTACAAACTAAAATGGTTTATAATTATGTTCCTGGTCTCAGTCTTTCCTCCTCTAGTGCCTTTCTTAGCTAATTGAAAGAGGAACTGTGTGGGTTTTTTAAAAATTTCAAGCGAAGTCACAAAAAAGGGAAATATTTTTGGCTGAAGACAATTCATGGCCTATATTTTCTGTTGCTTTAGGTGGCATTTTTTAAAAACTAAAGTGTAACTCTGAAGAATGTTTTTTCGGGGGTGGTGGTAATCTGAAGTGCGAACTGCACAATGATAATCATCATCTGCACAACGATGATTCAAATCCCCACATTTATGCCAAAAGTTTCAATTTTTCCCATTAAACCTTTTACAAAATGGATAAAAAGCATAATTTAATAACTTTGATTTCATCTTCTCTGCTTACATTCTGGCAGAAGTATTAATAAATAGTGAAAAGTGAAATGGAAAGGAACCATGAAACCAATACAGGTTAAGTTTCCTGAGCTCCTAACATATAACACTTAGCTGTAAAGGAATATATGGTGGTTTAGGGAGTAAAAAGAGCACATGCTTGTGAATCAGATGGTCCTGAGTACAAATTCCCAATCTGTGATATAATATACATAATAGTGATAGAACACTGGGCAAACTCTTAATGCATGTGAATTTGTCTCTTTATCTGTAAGTCAAGGATTTCTCCATTTTCCTCATAGTCATTTAAAGGTTAAATGAAGCAAAGTTATATAAACATCTCAGTTACAGTACAGAGTATGTTCTACATAATTTTTTTATTTCTTTTATGCCTTCTTCAAGGTTCTCGTTTGAATGGGTGGGGATAATAAAAAGAAAATGTGCAAAGTTAAGAGTAATAAAAAATAACACAATTATTTAAGAGAATAAAGATGTGAGGAGGACGACCATGAATAATTATCTAAGGAATCATAAAGACAAAAAAAAGTAGGAAGATTCAGGGAATGGCTAATCTCTCTGGGTTGTGGTCAGTCACAGAGAACTTGATTTAAGAAGGGGAATTTAAACTGAGGTCTGACCAATGAAGATCAGTTCAGATAGGAAAAGAGGCTGGGTTTGGGGGAGGGGAGTGTGGGATACTCTAAGAGGGTGAGAAACAGTGTTATTAAAAATGTCTATTTAGAGGATGCCTGGGTGGCTCAGTGATTGAGCGTCTGCCTTTGGCTCAGGGTGTGATCCCAGAGGTCCGGGATCAAGTCCCACATCAGGCTCCCTGCATGGAGCCTGCTTCTCTTCCCTCTGCCTGTGTCTCTGCTTCTCTGTGTCTCTCATGAATAAATAAATAAAATCTTAAAAAAAAAAGTCTATTTAGGGGAAAAAGCATGTGTCTGGAAAATACTTAAGATGGGAAGAGGTGCATTTGGCTGAATGAGAAGTTTCAGTCTTGAGACCTAAGTCAGGACTGGTAAACTCAAGCACAAGGAAGAAAATTCAGTTTAGAATTTTTGTCTTGACAGCAACAGGGAACCTATTAATAAGGGAGTAGTAAAGTGCCTATAAATGCTTTTCAGAATATTAATTCTTCAGCATTATGCAGGAAAATTTAAAGGAGAAAATTTTTAAATTTAGCCTTGAAGTATTAGAAAGAAAATTAAAAGGAAGAGACCATACAGGGGGAATAAATCACATGCCCTTTACTAAAACAGGGTAATGTACCATCATTGTGTACCAAGTGGTAGAGGAGGAAGCAATGAAAACTACTCAAATATGCTGAAAAGTCCATTTATTTGCAAAACCTGAGGAGTTCCTCTTCTGTTATCATACTTTGCCTAGAACATCATATCTCTCTCACATTGGCTTAAGAATCCTAGAAAAACTAGCTTCTAATCATATTTTCCCAGATCTAACACCCTGAGATGTCCCTTTCTCTAATGTTAAGAAATAATGAAATGGTTCTCATTGTGTTTAATGATGTACAAAATGGTCTGTTACACCTAGAGCTGAAAACCGTCTTAGTCTTAACTCCTCACTTTAGAGAGAAGGCAACTGAGAACAGGAGAGATGAAGTGACTAGTTCTCATAGTGAGACAGAGTGACTAGTCAGATGCATAGCCACATGTTGGAAGTAGAACTGGAACTTACTCTTCAAGTTTTAGCACCTACCACAACCCACAAAAAGCCCTGCCTGCCAAACTTACACATAAGCCTTCTCTTCCCATGTCCATATGTTGGTTCCCCTGCCTGAAACATTTTATTTGCTTAATTCCTTCTTACAGATCTTTCAAAACTCAGTTCAAGTTTTACTTCTCTGAGAAGCATTCCCTGAAAGCCTCCCAGGCTATGTTGGTTTCTTTGTGCATCTCTTGTGTACCTTTATGAGAAAACTTATTAAATTATCATAATTATTATTTGCTTCTACCACTAGAAACTTTTTTGGGAGGCATTATCTCTTAAATCTAGAACAGGCCTGACACAATAAATGAATGAAAGCAGCAGTGGGACAACTTTCTCAACTGGACAGAACTGACTTAACCAGATTCAAAGATCATTTAGGATTCTGAGTTGAACTGACTCCTTTAAGAGTAATAAGATCCTAAGAGTACCTGGGGGTAGCTCAGTTGGTTAACTGTTGGACTCTTTTTTTTTTTTAAGGATTTTATTTATTTATTCATGAGAGACACACACAGAGAGAGAGAGGCAGAGAGAGAGACAGAGGGAGAAGCAGGCTCCCTGTAGGAAGCCTGATGTGGGACTCGATCCCGGGACTCCAGAATCACGCCCTGGGCTGAAGGCAGGCTAAACCACTGAGCCACCCAGGGATCCCCAAGTGTTGGACTCTTAACATCACCTCAGGTCATGATCTCCGGGTCAGGAGATGGAGCCCCGGGACTCCAGAATCACGCCTTGGGCTGAAGGCAGGCTAAACCACTGAGCCACCCAGGGATCCCCAAGTGTTGGACTCTTAACATCACCTCGGGTCATGATCTCCGGGTCAGGAGATGGAGCCCCACGTTGAGTTCCTCATTGGGCTCCATGCTCAGCACATGTCTACTTGAGATTCTCTCCCTCTCCTTCTGCCCCTCCCTCCACTCATGGGCTCATGTGCATTCTCTCTCTCAAATAAATAATCTTAAAAAAAAGAGTACAAGATCCTAACATAAAGACACAGTGCTAGACTCTGATGATGCTGTAGAGACTACTAGCATGATAGACTCTACATAAAAAACTTCAACAAAGGTAGTACCATAAACAAAAATAGAAGAGGAGTCAGTTTTGACATGAAGATGAATTGTTTTAAATATGCTAAATTTGCTGATGGCAGGATATATACATGGAAATATCCACCAAAAAGTTATGTAAATGGAACAGAATTAAAGAGATTAGGCTGGATGTGCAGGTTTGGGAGTTAAAGGCATACAGGTGAGAGTTGAAATTTTATAGAATCAGGATCAGAGGATACTAGCTAAGAATGAGGACTGAATATGAAGTACCCATATTTAAGGAGAAAAACGGGCACCTGGGTAGCTCAGTCAGTTTAAGTGTCGGCCTTTGGCTCAGGTCCTGATTTCAGGGTCCTAGGATTGAGCCCCAAGTCTGGCTCCCTGCTGAGTGGGAAGCTTGCTTCTCCCCTCTCCCTCTGCCCACCGCCCCCCCTCATGCTCTATCTCTCTCTCTCAAATAAATAAATAAAATCTTTAAAAAGAGAGAAAAATGGGAGCTGGTGAGATTACCATGAAAGGAAGACTATCACAAAGAGCTACTTGAATAGTGCTGAAGGCATAGTCAATAGCATCAAATGTGGTCAACGGAGAGGGAAAAAAGAGAATAAAGAAAAGATTGTTGAATTAGATAACAGATGATCACTGGTGTCCTTCAGAACAACAGGATCAATGTATTTCTAGTAGTAAGGAAGAGAAAAGTAAAGAGCACATGGACCAAGCAGCCAGAGCCTATGTATTTCCGAAGTATGACTGTGAAATGAAGGATTGTAATGTAATGAAGCTAGGGGAGCAGCAGGGCCAAGTACAGGTCCTATGAAAGAATTAAGAGAGATTATTGCCTATGAGGTCCAACTATAGTAAGTTAGAATATATTCAAGAGTTGTTTAGGGATCCCTGGGTGGCGTTGCGGTTTAGTGCCTGCCTTTGGCCCAGGGCGCAATCCTTGAGACCTGGGATCGAATCCCACGTCGGGCTCCCAGTGCATGGAGCCTGCTTCTCCCTCTGCCTGTGTCTCTGCCTCTCTCTCTCTCTCTCTCTCTCTCTGTGTGATTATCATAAATAAATAAAAATTTAAAAAAAAAGAGTTGTTTAGGGGATCCCTGGGTGGCGCAGCGGTTTAGCGCCTGCCTTTGGCCCAGGGCGCGATCCTGGAGACCCGGGATCGAATCCCATGTCGGGCTCCCGGTGTATGGAGCCTGCTTCTCCCTCTGCCTGTGTCTCTGCCTCTCTCTCTCTCACTGTGTGCCTATCATAAATAAATAAAACAAAAAAAAATAAAAAAAAAGAGTTGTTTAGACTATAGTGTCCCAAGTCTACATAACAAACAATAAATACTTATTAAGTACCTACATACTTTGGGCCAGACACCAAATAATACCTGTCTTTCTTTCTTTCTTTCTTTCTTTCATTATAAAACCACTGGTAAAGAAGAAACATTCTGAAATGGATCCCAAATATTTCATCTTAGTTTTGTTTTGTGGACATCTCAGTGATACATTTTTCTCAAAGACAGAAGCAACGACAACAGAGAAGCAACCACAGTTTACTTTATTTAGCTCATCAAGGCAACATAACTCAGCTAATTCCCAAAACATAACAGGGAATCTTATGAGTCAACCAACACAATTCAACCATGTTTCTTCTGTACAACCAATACCAACTACCAAAGATGCTGCTGGACAATCAACACCAGCTGCCTATGCTTCTTCTAAAAAACCAGAAGCACACACTTCTGCTGGGCAACCACTTGCCTCTAACCCCACCAAACAACCAATTCCAACAGCCAACACCTCCTCCCGACAAACAGCACTACTGGTGTTTACTTCTGCTGGACAACTAACCCCATCTGCCCCTACTTCTACCAAACAACTGCCACCATTTGTCTATACTTCCACTCAACAACCATCATCTGTCCATACCTCTTCTAGAAAACCAGTATCACCAACTGTTCATAATCCATCTATACAACCAACACCAAGTGTCAAAAGCTCAACCAGGAATACTCCAGGATTCATCCTAGAAACTACCAGTAACAAAAATATCTCACATGAAACTACATCTAATTCAATAGCTGCCATATTACTTGGTGTAATTCTGACTTCTATGTTGGTATCTATAATCATAATTCTACTATGGAAATGCTTGAGAAAACCAGTTTTAAATGATCAGAATTGGGCAGGTAGGTCTCCATTTGCTGATGGTGAAACCCCTGACATATATATGGATAACATTAGAGAAAATGAAGTGCCCACAAAACGCACATCAATTGTTTCACTTATGCCCTGGAAAGCAGGCAAAAGCACACTGTTAGCTGACGACTTGGAAATTAAGTTGTTTGAATCAAGTGAACACATTGAACATTCCAACAACCCCAAAAAAGAGAAAATAAAAGATCAAGCAAATGGTACATCAGAGGAGAGTGCTGGTGGATCAACCATTGGCACTGCTGTTTCTTCTTCAGATGATGCAGATCCACTTCCACCACCTCCTCTACTTCTTGATTTGGAAGGACAGGAGAGTAACCAATGTGACAAACCCACAATGACAGTTATACCTCCTCTTCCAAATGATTCCACTAACCTCCCACCATCTCTGGACTGTCTCAATCAAGTGTGTGAAGATCATAATTCTGAGTTCAAACAAACATTTCCACCTCCACCTGACTCACTTAACTTGTCCCTGCCACCAGGAGATTTCATGAAAAACCAGGAAGATTCCAAAAATGAGATCCAGTGTCAGGATTTCTCTATTCCTCTGGACTATGATCAAGATCACAGTGAATCCTTGCCACCCCCACCTGAAGAACTATTATAAATAGTGTAACTTGCTTTTTAGCTGATTTTCCATCCTTCTTATGAACTCCATCTTTTGTTTTTCTTCATGTGATGATGGCAACCTGTAGCCAATTTTTATTTTTATTCAGGAACTACCTGAAATCTGCTCAAAATCCATGTGCATAAGTAGAACTTACTTTTAAAAAATGATGTAATAGTGACCTATTTACCAGCTTTAGTACTTAACTTTAATGTACAGTACATTTTATGTATGTATGTAAATAACCATTTTGAAAACAAATACTCTACATACACTTAATATCACCTAATAGATATTTTTCCCCCTGAAAAGCTGTGTATAAAGTTACCCTGAATAAATAACATTTTGTTTTTCCATTTCAAAGTTTGAGGTGGGGGGAGGGGCATGAGGAATTAAATACATTCTCCAAGTTTTAAACAAAACTCCAAATTTTAAATTAATACCTCAAATATTAAATAACTATTCCATGTTTGTGGGAATGAGAAACTAAAAATGCATGTTGAGTATACAAAAATTTTTTTTTAGCTTTCATTGGAAGCAGTAAAGCAATTCTGTTAAAACATCAAATGGAAGGGGGTGTTGGATTGGGGATATCTACTCTGAAAAAATAAGAACATGCACCATAAACTGTAGACATTTTTCCCATCTTGTTGGGAGAGCATGGTTTCTAAAACTAACATCTCTAAAGATTTTCTTCTTTCTATAGCTCAAGCACCCTAACAAAAGAAATCTTACAAAGGAAAATAAAACCACATACACTAAACCACACCTCAATGGCTTCATTCCAAATTTGAATGATTTTTCCAAGAAAAACAGACTGTATCAAATACAGATGGTTCTCAACTTTCACTAAACTTACACTTTCTGACTTTATACACTTAAACTCTTTAACCACCATTCCTATGTAGAATTTCATCTTTCCTCCATAAACTGATAAGTAATGAATCTGAGTTATCAGAGTAGGGGCGGACCCAATCTTTGTCAGAGTCACGATGGCAAGTATTCCATGGCTATGCTTGTGGCGGTACCAGCCTATGCCTGCAAAAGAGCAGCACGCAGTCTTCCTTCTTACCCTACCCTAACCCCTGGGTTAATAATGAAATATGATGGTCTTGCTGGTAGTTTAACCTTGAAGAACCCCTCATAGTTCTGGGGTTTTTCAAAACAAAATATAGTATTTATTTGTCACACTAGTGTTCACAAAAACACAAAGCTCCATCTTTTTGGACAATGAAATTTTATATACAGTATTTCCCTTTAAATCTTTTAAACCATTCCCTTACTGACCATTAAAACTTTTTATTTACAGAAACATTTCCTTGAACTTATTTTTCCTGATGTTTATTTCCAAAGCATGTTTATTATCATATTAGATGGGAACTCAGTCTTCTACATTAAAATATTTCTTTCATGTTGTCTTTCAAACTTAGCACTTTTAAGGTTAATTTACCCAGGAGCAAGCAGGAGTTTAAGAATTCCCTATTAATCTTCAGAATTGTAAGTATTCTAGTCAGCTTAAATAAGGTATGTTTTTATATTTGGTCAAGACTTTGATGTATTTAAGCCATCATAATATTCTTTATTTTACATGTAAGATGGTTACCTAAGAGGCCTTTTCCACACTTTTGCTCTTCTTTCTCATCACCTTCTTTTCTGATCTCTTGAAGGACAGATGCTGGGATATATAGGAAAATGCCAACTCTTACAGATAAACCAAGAGCTGATGATCTATCTGGTCACAGTCTTATCTGATTCTTCAAATTCTACATGCCACTTTCTTCCTTCTGTTCTTTGTATAACCAAGGAACAGACTAACAGCAGTTAGTTTTGGGGTTGTTTTTAATTTTCTGCCAGGGGGAGAAAATAATTCCCATTTACTGCATGTAATTTTTCCCCACTGAGGTCAGTGGAAGCCGAGCAGCCAAACAGTGGCAACCCTTGCTTAATCAGCAGAAAGAAATGCAAGTTAATGAAAGAAATACAGGAGAGAAGAAAATGCTGGAACGAAGAAAAACCTACAAAAAAAAGATCAAAGAACCAGGATCCAGAGCAAAAGAGAAAGTTTATTTCATGAGTATGGCAAAAGGACAAGGCACAAAGGAATAAAAAGTAGATTGAATGACAACATAGCAGTGGTGCTCCTACCACATCAGCATTAACCAGATTCAGAAACAACTCTAAAGACCATCTAGTTCCACTCCTTTTATTTGTCAACTGCTGAAAATATACGCCGGAGAGAGGAATGACTTGTTTAGTAGTGGTATTAAAAACTGAGTTTGTTCACTGACTCCTGGTTCAGCACTCTTTTCACTAATATAGGACCAAAAGAGCACCTACTTTGTGCACTGCGACATATTATCATACATGTATTCCATTTGACACAGTAGTGGGGGACACAATGACGTGACTTGTAATTGTTATTACCTAGTTCTAATCAAAAAGTAAAGTATAAAATATCAGGTACCTAGAATTAAAACATTATAATAATCATGTACTGTGATACTGATATATGATTAGATAAATAGAATGGAAAGTCCAGAAACAGACTCAAATCTCTAATCACTGGAAAAAACTATGGGAACGATTGGATAGACATCTGGAAAAAAATAAAATTGGATCCATACTTCACACTACATTAGAATAAACACCAAATAGACCAGAGATCTAAACATAAACATGAAATAATACAAGTAATAGAAGAAAAATCTAAGAATTCCTTTGTAATCTAGAGATGAGAAAAACATTCCCAGTTGAGATTCAAAATCCAGGAACAATAAAAAGGAAAACTCAATTATATAAAAAACTTTTAAATGTCAAACAAAACAAACTCTACCACAATAAAGTCAAAGATAAACTGGAAATAAATAGAAACTGGAAAAAAAAACAAACAAACCCTGCAATTCTAAGGCAAAGGGCTAGTATCTCTAAATTAAAAAAAAAATAAATCCTATTTAGGGGGAGGGAAAAATCCACTACAGAATAGAAAAAATTTGCAAAACATAAGACAGTTGGGACACCTGGGTGGCTCAGTGGTTTGAGTGTCTGCCTTTGGCTCAGGGCGTGATACCGGGTCCAGGGATCGAGTCTTGCATTGGGTTCCCTGCAAGGAGCCTGATTCTCCCTCTGTGCCTCTGCCTCTCAATCTCTCTCTCTCTGTCTCTCATGAATAAATAAATAAAATCTTAAAAAAAAGAAAAGAAACATAAGAGACAGTTAAAGAAGAAAGAACTTAAATGATTCCTAAAAGGAAAGATATACAACTTTCTTCATAATAAGAGAAATGTATTTAAAATTTCATTGAGAAAAAATAAATAAAATAAAATTTCACTGAGCTACTCTTATCTATCAGATTGATATAAATCCAAAAGTTCAACAACAAAGTGTATGGTGGGATGATACAGAACTGACACCCTGATACATTGCTTATGGGATGGCAAAATGGTATGGACTACAGAAAAGAATTTGGTAATATCCAGAAAAGTTCCAAATGCATTACCCTTTTACTCAGCAATACTATTTTTAGAAATCTTTTTCAAAGATTCATTGGACAAAATATGAAATTACTTAGATGCAAGGGTAAATATGGACATTATTTGTAATAGCAAAAGTCTGGAAACAAGTGAGATGTCCATCAATAGGGACCAGCTGAATAAACCATGGTACTCTTCTAAATGGAGTACTATGCATTGCAAAATGAATGTGAAAGATCACTATATACTGATGTGGAATGATCTTCAAAATATATTTAGGAAAAGAAGAACAAGATGCATAACAGGAGGGGCACCTGAGTGGATCAGTCAGGTAAGTGTCTGACTTTTGGATTTGGCTGGGGTTATGAGCTCAGGGTCATGGGATCGAACTCTGTGTTGAGCCTGTGATGGGCTCTGCACTTAGCATTAGCATGGAGTTGGCTTGTCCCTCTCCCTCCCTCTCTGCCACTTGTGCTTTCTCAAATAAATAAAATCTTAAAAAAAAAAGTATAACAGTATATTTAGTATGCAGCCCTTAATATAAGAGAATATGAACATAATAAAATACCTAATTTGTATACATTTGCAAAAGAAAAGAAAAGGAACATTGTTAAAATACAACCAAAAGCTGATACAAATAGTTATCAATGGGAGGAAGAAGAGTGGAATAGAGTGAAGGGAACAGAGAACCAAGATTTCTCTGAGTATACCTTGTTATATATAGTTTTGACTTAAGCAGTCCCTATTGAAACTGGTAACTAATTGAAACTAATGAATCTAACTTCATATAAAATTCGTGATACAAACATATAGAAAAAACATTATTTCAAGTTGCATTAGAGCACAGAATTGACTATACATCCTTATATTTTTAGAACAAATATATTCTAAGAACAAAGAGAGAAAGAAATCTTAAATTTTATTCAGTAGTCTGTAATTTAATTGCCAGCAATACTGGCATTATTTTGAAACTGTTATATGATGATACAAATAAACAATTATGTTAATGCTGTTAGGAACCATTTATAGGAAATATGGGGGATAGAGGAACAAATTAAATGTTCACAAGGAAGCAAACAGATAAACCCAGATGAACAATTAACTGAGTTTTGGCAACAAGCCAGTGGTATGGGGAAAAAAGGGTGGGGAGGTGGTACAAGAAACTCATCCACATGGGTTCTGACCTGTTAATTTCTATATCTTGCCAGTTCGTCCATGCTATTAAATACTTTGTTCAGTACTCTTAGTTGTTTTCAGCAGGAAATGCAGTCTGAATAGCCAACTATATTACTAAAAATAGAAAATATAACACTTTTACTCTCAAGCATGACAAATGTTATGAACTTAAGAAATAAAGACAAACTGTACACTTAACATCACAAGTACTGAGTAATGTATAGAATTGTGGAATCACTATTTGGTAGACCCAAAACTAATAGAACAATATATGTTAACTATGCCGGAATTAAAATAAAAAAGCTCAGTGAAAAAATAAAATAAAATGGGATTCAGGGGGCACCTGGGTGGCTCAGTCAGTTAAGTGTCTGCTTTCGGTTCAGGTCATGATCTCAGGGTCCTGGGACTGAACCCCATGTCGGGCTCTCTGCTCAGTGAGGAGCCTCTCTCCTTCTGCCCCTCCTCCCTGCTTGTGTGTACTCTCTCTAAAATAAATAAATAAATCTTGAAAAAAAATATGAATCAGATTTAAAAAAAAAACAAACTGATTGGGTTTTCAAACTGTTGATTACCATAGGACAGTTGTTCCCTAGCAGGCAATGTTAAACCTTTCACAATTTTGAGGTAATATATCCTAGGACAGTGTGTTTCACAATGGAATATGTAAATGAATGTACTGCTTAGTCTAGAATATAATAGTTGCCTAAATAGCTGTAATTCCTGATTTGACAGACTCATCTAAAATGCAATGTGTCTGAAATAATACCTAATATCTAAAATAAGTTGTAATAAACTTATGCCTACACAGAATTCTTATTTTTTGACTAATACTAATATAGTCTTATTTCATGAGAATTTCTTTTTAAGATTTTATTTGAGAGAGAGAGAGAGATAGTGAGAGAGAGTACAAGGTAGGGAGGCCACATGGTCTAATCCCAGGACCCTGGGATCCTGACCTGAGCCAAAGGCTTATTAACTCACTGAGGTGGGTTCATGCCTTCAGGTGCCTATCTCATGAGAATTTCTAAAAGCCTAAAACAGATCTTTAGAACTCAAATACAGTAAAATGCTTCCCCTCTTTCTTTTTGAGAATTTTGTAACAATTTTTTTTGAGAATTTTGTAACAATTTTTGAATAGGAAGCAATTGGTATGTCCTCAAACTTGAAATGAAAGACACCTGTCACTACTATCATATTGGAATTTTCTATTATATACAGCAGAATCTAATCTCAAAAAGCCTAAATCCAAATTCATTTGAATTCTTAAGCTACTGAAATAACCAGTTCCTGGTTTCAAAAAAAGTCCTGGTAAGTATAATGGAACTAGGTAACTCTATTACCACACTGATGTAATGAGACTTCCTAAATTAAATGTTTGGTAAGCTGACCCTCCAGTCACATTCTCTGAATATAATAGTATAAACAGGAGCTAAAATATAAGAAATCTAAATGTCCAAACAATTATTCCCTATTTCTACAACAATATTGCTGAATGTAGTTATTTTTAACACATTGCTTTTAAGCACTAAGATTGATGACTGGTTTCTGAAATCCATAGAAAGAATCTTATTAAGAGTCCAAGACTGATCTCTCAAAGTAAAGTGGGAATAAAGCACCTAATCAATAATAATTTTCTAACACTGCAGACTTTTAAAATGTAGATATTTTTCGAGGAATATTAATTTTAGTCACAAAAGGCGACTCTTAAAGTATAGTTTCTTTTCTAAGAAAATAAACTTGAAATTTTAATACAATAAATTCTATTTGGGGTAAAACTTAGGGCAAAATAATGGCAAATATAATTTAGAGAAAAACAAAGGATTAACAAAAAAGCATAAGGAGATTTTCTTTACATGGAATGTACTAACAATTGCTAGTTTTTTAAATAGTAAAAATTTGGTAATGAAAATGCCATGGCTTTATTTGCTTAGTTTTCTAAGGTAAACTGGTTGTTCTGGAAATAAGGTTTGAGTTTTAACAGATTACTTAATCAATCCACTAAAAAGTGAGGCAGAAGCTATTACAAAATATGGTCACGTTATAAAATTCATGACCAAAATTTTGCCAATGACATTATTTCACGCAATTTTAAAACTCTGCATTTTTTTAAAAAATATTTTATTTATTTATGAGAGACACAGAGAAGGAGAAGCAAAGGCATAGGCAGAGGGAGAAGCAGGCTCCATGCAGGGAGCCCAATACCGGACTTGATCCTGGGACTCCAGGTTCATAACCTGAGCCAAAGGCAGATGCTCACCGCTGAGCCATCCAGGTGTCCCTTAATTGCTTTCTCAGTAAGACAAAGTGTGAAACACTCTGAAGAAATCACCTACAATTGATGCTATTTTTTTTTAAGATTTATTTACTTATGATAGACATAGAGAAAGAGAGAGAGAGGCAGAGAGGCAGAGACACAGGAGGGAGAAGCAGGCTCCAAGCCGAGAGCCCGACGTGGGACTCGATCCCGGGACTCCAGGATCGCGCCCTGGGCCAAAGGCAGGCGCTAAACCGCTGAGCCACCCAGGGATCCCCTGATGCTACTATTTTTAAAACATAAAATCAAGTAAATGGTCACTCCTATAGTATCAAAGAGGTCTCAGAAGATGAAAATATGTATACCCACTCACTAAACAAAGTAAATTGCATGGAGAAAAATAATCCTTCACCTAAAAAACATAAATCATATTTGACATCATGGATTTAATGAAAAGCATATGATGCTCATTTAAAACTGTAGCCTTGCTTGTGTGTAGTCTGGGTTAAATGATCCTTTGTATCGGAAAGATAAAGACAAAAAACCATTTGGAAGTACTTCAGTACTTCCGAAAAAGAAGATGAAGATTTAAGTGGTTGATAAATTTGAAAAGCTGATTACACGTAATAATCACCATGTTGGGGGAACACATGGAAATGAGACAGACCGTATTATGCTACTTTAAAAAGTGACATGACAATCGAACCATTTTAGAAGAACATGAAAAGGCAGGAGTTAAAAATAGTTCCATTAACATCTTAGAAAACCATCCACGGGGAAGGTCAAATTCATTTTCAACATTCTTCAATGTGTAAAAAGGATGAGGAGCAGAAGCTTTAAAAAGAACCACAAATTCTTCATAAGGCAACGTTCGAACGTGGAACATGAGCTCAGACAAACATACAAAAATGAGTGAGGGCCAGGTCTAACATGCATGAGGCAC